GGTACCATACAAAACCTTTTACCACACCTCGCTCACACCATGCCTGGCCTAAACTCCTACCTAGCCCCCCACCCCCCACTGCTTCTGCCGCTGCAACTGCTGCTGCCGGTATGCTACTCTGCTTCTCTGCTGCACTCTTCTCTTGATGCCAAGTGACCTGGTGGCGGGAAGAAAAAGGGGAGGGGGACAGGAGAGAAAGAGCAGGAGGTTAGTGATGTGACGTGAGCAGGGACACTAAAGTCAACAGAAAAACGCATAACCTGACAAAGACAACAAGGGGAAAGTGCAGAGAGAACTGCAGCAACAAATGCACTTGAAGGAGGGAGGTAACGCACCTTGAGAGGCCAAGCCCATCCCCATACTCTCCCTTGCTGCAGTGGGATTGCCATGCTGCAGTGCTGCCTCCCTCCCTCCCGTCCCCACGAGTCCCTGCACGGCCACAGGGGAGGGGCGTGGGGAAGCGTCGGTGTTGACCCCAGCGCCCCTCCCCTCCACCTGCAACGCGCACACACAGAGCTAGTCAGAGCGCGGTGGTGGGAGCAAGTTGAAGGGGGAACTGTGACTTGAAGTTCAGCACAAGGGAAGGGAGGAGGAGCCACTGGTGGAGGCACGGCCACAAGCTGCAGATCTAAGGGCACCTGAAAAAGAACCTGAGGGGTAAACCTACACCTGAAGGGGGGACCTGCACCTGAGAGGGTTACCTGCACCTGCGGAGATACCTGAAGAGAGGGGGGGTCTGAGGCATGTAAACCGAGCTCAACCAGTGGCATTGTTTCAGAGGGAGGGGCGAAAGCACAACTGGCAAAGGAACTGGAAGCAAGAAAGCAACAAGCCATGATGTGGCGGGCCAGGGTATGGAAGTGGGTAAATTAGCTGATAGTGTGAGGGCGAGCTCAAGGCAGCTGCAGCACCACCAGCTGCCTCCCTCCGCAGCAGCCCTCCTACAGGTGCCTCCTCCCTGCACGGCCACAGGGGAGGGGCGTGAGGGAGCGTCGGTGTTGACCCCGCACCCCTTTCCGCCACCTGCAACGCGCACACACAGGGCTAGTCAGAGCGCGGTGGTGGGAGCAAGTTGAAGGGGGAACTGTGACTTGAAGTTCAGCACAAGGGAAGGGAGGAGGAGCCACTGGTGGAGGCACGGCCACAAAGCTACAGACCCAAGGGCACCTGAAAAGAACCTGAGGGGTGTACCTGCACCTGAAGGGGTTACCTGTACCTGAGGGAATCACCTGAAGCAGGGGGGTCTGTAGCATGTGAGCAGTACTCAACTAATGGCATTGTTTCAAGTGGATGGTGGAACAGCAGATGAAATGAAAGAGACGGTATGGCAGGCAAGGGTGCGGGCATGGGGGGACTGGTACTTAGCTGATTGTGTGGTGCAGGCAGAAGGGATAGGTGCTTAAATGGCGAGTGGGCAGGGCGAGCGAGGCTTGAAGGGACGGACCTGCGAGGCAGAGGAGAAGGGAGAGAGAGATAGAGATAAAGTAAGAGGCAGGTGGGAGGGAGTGACTCTTTTAAAGGAGAAGACAGGCAGCAGTGCGAGTGCAACATGACGGTGCACGTGACGCCAACCACAACCCCACAAGAGCCGCTACCAACCTGAACCTGCACCTGAACCTGCACCTGAACTTGAACCTGAGGGGGAGTGGGCTCGAGTGGGGTGTGGTGGCAGGGGCGAAACTGCAACCTCAGCCGTTGATGAGGCCGGCGCTGCTGCCCTGCTGCCCGCGCTCCTGCTGCCCGCCTCGCCTGCTGCTCGCCTGCTGCACTCCCCCTGGCTTGTGAAGGCCTGGCAGGGAAGGGATGGGAGGGAGGGCAGGGCGGAAAAGAAAGGCAGCCGAAAGTAAGAGGGGTTGCAAAGGAGAAAAGTGTCAAACACAGGTGCAACAGCAGAAACGACAGTGCATGTGACGCCAACCACAACCCCACAAGAGCCGCTACCAACCTGAACCTGAACCTGCACCTGAACCTGCACCTGAACCTGCACCTGAACTTGAACCTGAGGGGGAGTGGGCTCGAGTGGAGTGTGGTGGCAGGGGCGATACTGCAACCTCAACCGTTGATGAGGCCGGCGCTGCTGCCCCGCTGCCCGCGCTCCTGCTGCCCGCCCTGGTGCTCCCCTCACCTGCTGCCCTCCCTCTTGCCTTGGGCTCGCCTGGCAGGGAAGGGATGGGAGCGCGGAGGGGAGGGCAACGAGGGGAGGGCCGTGAGGAACGAGGTGAAGGCAGCGGGGGAGGTGGGAGCGAGAGTGAGATGGGGAATGGACAGTGCAGCGTGCGAGACGGCAGGAACAACCTTCAAGGCAAGGGGGGGGGCACTGGAGGAGCACATCCACAAGCCACAGACCCCCAGGGGAACCTGAGGAGGCTGTAAGGCTTTTGGGGGGCTGAACCTGTACCTGATGGGCTTACCTGAAATTGGGGGTGGGGGTCTGTTGCTTGTGAGGCGGGCCCCAACCAGTGGCGATGATTTCAGGGAGAAACGGCGAGCAGCAACGGTGGGCAGCAAGCGAGGGGGAATGGAGGGAGGAGAAGGCACTTGGCTGGCGGTTGAAGAAGCAGCGAGAGCTGATGCCGCTGCTGCTCACCCTCACGTCAACGGGACGCACAGCCGTGCGACCATTTCGCCATGAAACGAATCGCGGACGACGACTCCGCCACGCGCGGACGCGCAGCCGAAGGTTCCGCTGTGCGACGACGCGCGGACGACGGTTCCGCCGTGCGACGACGCGCGGACGACGGTTCCGCGTGCTACGACGCGCAGACAGCGATTTTGCCGTGCGACGACGCGCGGGCGACGATTTCGCCTAGGTGCGTCGCGCGGACGACAATCTCGCAGTGCGACGACGCGCGAACGAATTCGACGCACGCTGCCGATAGCGTCGTCAGTCGCATCTGAAAGTAGTCGCAGCAGAAATAACGGGGAATGACGGTTACGAATGTGACATGAACGAGGTTCAGGACGAATGCAACTCAGAGGCTCGTAGGGATGAGCGAGCAGCGGGAAAGGAGGTGGTACAAGCAGCTCAGAGTCGTACCGTGTTAGCGGTAATCTTCAGGGAAGAGGCGACGAGTGGTCGGCGGACGGTCGAAGCAAAGATACCGACTGTATGGATAAGGAATCGCGGCGCCACGCCAGTACGTGTTTGGTTGCGTGTGTGCATCTGACGTGGGTGAGAGAGCAAGTGCAAATCGGGAAAGGAGCTCTGAGATGCGCGACAGCGAAACGTGACATCTGACATCTAGATCGACGATGAAATCTCGCGGCGAAGAAACGTCATTGGAAGACTAACCTTGTCGGACGAACTATCCGGATATCACTGCTTCATCGCCGTGTGGACAGCGCGAAGAAGACTCATCCCAGACGGAAACGCTACCGTGGAAAACGCAGCGAGCGAGCGGTCGCAAGGAAAGCCGTCAACGCGAGAACAATCGCCTCGAGAAAGACAGAAACCGTCGCCAGCGAGAACGAAACTAGCTCCAGAACTAGTCTAGAGCAAGAAGAAATCGTGAAAGAAACGTGTTGTGAGGCTCTAGTCGATAACTGAGGACGCGGCACCTGTTTTCATTTTGCCAGGATCGATCGTGGGAGGGGATCGATGTGCCGCTTGTACAGTATATTGGCGACATCGCCAATGCTTGGTATCCGTTTTTCGCTGAACGTCGAGAATGTACAGTAAACGGGTACCCAAATTGGTGGCACCTGCAGCTCGCACGATCGATGTGCCGTGGTGCATGCGTTAGGATTGGCGGGAGAGCATATCGCGCCACAGGTGACAGCCTCGATCGATCGGCGTCGCCCACGGTCGCAGGCAAAAAATTCTTGAGTCGCTGCGAATGGAATTGCTGGACGACCATCCACGCTCTGCCCTGATTGGCTGCGCGTTTAAGTGTAATGGCAGCTCCAACCTGCCCGAGCCTGCAATTTCGATCCTGGCACCTATAGCTCGATGTGTCTACCCCACTGCAAATTTGCAGTGTGGGCACATCGGTGTGCCGATCGATATGCCAGATCGATGTGAGGCCACGATCCTTGTAAAATGAAAACAGGTGCCGCGTCCTGAGGAGAGGAGACTCTAGAACTGAGGAGAGGAGAAAGTGCAGGCGGAGATGGCGTAGGAGATGGAGCAGAAATAATGAGGCGGAACAAGTCTATTGGGTTGGCCCTGAAATGGATTCGGCACATTAGATGGCTACGTTGAGTGCGGTTGAGATGGTTTCAACGTGGTTTGAAATTGTTGTGTGTCTGCCTTCTCCCAGTTTCCGCTGTGTGGTTACAGGTTTGGTTCAGCTCAGCCCAATATGCCAACCAATCCCGAGGTGGGTTAGCGGCGGAGGAGGAAGCACCGCCCAGAAGATTTGCCCGCGAATTTCCGCGCGCGCGCATCATTTTCAACAAACGGCCAGGTGACGAAAAGAGTGAGCGACGAGCGAAACAGCACTTGCGACCTATTGGTTGTTTCGCTTGTGCGTACGAGGCAATCCTCTGGTGGGCCGATAGACTTTTGCGAAACTCGACGCCAAGAACGTCGAGCCTAACGGTTCCGGCAAGGATAGCAACAATATCCGTCAAATAGCGCGGGCTCGTGAATGTGCTCCCCCGAAAGGCCTGACACACCACTGAGAAGGCGCAGATTGGGGAATTTGGCGGAGGGTGGGGCTGCTGCTCCAACGGGATGCCTACGGACGGCGCAATTTGGGGAGACTTGTGGAACAGCGTGACGCTTCTGATTCGACATCCGCAACATCATCGAATGAGCTCCATGATTGCGCTGATCTTTATCTTGATCCTACGGACGAAATGAAACAAGCGCAGAACGCATCGGATCAACTATGCGCGTTATGATTTACGGAGTGATCACAAAACTGTTGTGACATAAACGTTTACATAGGAATATCTATTCTTACAAATAGCACCAGGGTCACAAGATTGTAAACAAACTCTTGACATTAACAACAAACACTACATACAGCGTGGGAATACAAACACCACCGCTAGAACTACAGTCGCCGTAGGCTCTTCTTCCTCAAGTCAGCCTTCTTCTCTCCCCCACCCCGGCCCGTGTTCTCCCCCTTCCCTTTAGCCTTCACCACGCCACTACCCGTGCTCGATGCTGCCACAGGCTCCCCCATAGCTGCTGCTGCCGCTGACCCGTTTCCCGTTTCCTTTGCCTGCCGCCTAGAGTCAGCATTTGCAAGCGACCGATTGGTGGCCAGGGGCGTGTGATGGGCTGACGAAACACTGGCACTGCCAGCCAGGTTTTTGCCAGTAGTACGATCAACAACAGACGTGCTGGGAGGCGGGGCAGGTGGAGTGGTGCTGCTGGAATCTCGAGAACTCACTGCGGTGTCAGTGCCAGTGGCAGCAGCACCAGGAGCACAGGGAGTGGGAGTGGCAGGGGGTGCAGATGCAGCAGCTGGAGAAGAAGCAGCGCGGCCAGAGTCCGAAAGCAGGTCAGCTGCTGTTGCCGACTGTGTGCATGCTCTCTGCTGGTTCTTGCTGGGGGACTGATTATTTGCCTCCTGCCTTCCCGGCTCATGCTGCTGCTGCTGCTGCTGTTGCGGTTGCGACTGCTGAGCTTGCTGCTTGGCTTTCCCGGCAGAGGTCAGGGCGGAGGAAGAGGCAGGGGCGGCATGGATGGATGTGAAGAGGCGGGCATGGCGTGCATACGCGTTATAATCCTCCAGAAGCAGCTTCCCTGCGTCCTCGTTAAGAGCAGACTCGGGGTAAGGTTCAATCAGAAGGCAGCGCACCACCTGCATTGGCACACACGGACCAGCTGTTGAAAGTTGAGGATTGGCAAGAAAGCAGCACGCAGGCACAAAAATTCCTAGAAGACACAACTAGCTTAAAATGCACAACTGCACCACCGCCACCAAATCAGGTGCTATCACTGCAGCCCACCGCTCTCAACACGGAGGGCCCACTACCAGGCACGACTGTGCAGCGGAGCCCGTCGCAACCCAACAGCAACACACACAAACTCAAATAAAACAGCGCACCAGCAAGACGTGTTTGAGTCCGAGGGTGGCCTTCCAGTCCTTTTTTAGCACGCTCACGCAGATCTCGCCGCTCTTGGCCACGTTGGGGTGGAAAATGCGCGTCAGGAAGAAGCCTGGCGGGGAGGTTGAGGGATGGTTGTGGGTGGGTGGCGATTGGAGGAAACGAAGAAGATAGAGAGCGGAGGCATAACCTTTGCTGCAGCTTCATGCGGAACAAAGAACGAGGGCTGGTTCTAGAGGGGAAGAGATCGCGATCGAAGGAGATGGACAGCGGGTACAAAGGGCACGCATTACCTTTGGGCGCGGCGTCGGGGAAGTCCCGCCCCAGCAGCAGCTTCATGTGGAACAAGAGGGAGGGTTGGTTCTAGAGGAGGGAAAGGATTGAAGGAGATAGGCAGCGGGAAAGAGGGAACGAAGGGAACGAAGGGCGGACGCATTACCTTTTGGGGCGGCGTTGGGGAAGTCCCGCCCCAGCAGCAGCTTCATGTGGAACAAGAGGGAGGGTTGGTTCTAGAGGAGGGAAAGGATTGAAGGAGATAGGCAGCGGGAAAGAGGGAACGAAGGGAACGAAGGGCGGACGCATTACCTTTTGGGGCGGCGTTGGGGAAGTCCCGCCCCAGCAGCAGCTTCATGCGGAACACTCCGCCCTCGTATGGCGTGCCCTCTGCGCATGCCGCCATGGCACGGTGCGGCGCGACGGATATGATATGATGGTAGGAAACGGGACAGCGAAGGGGTAAGGGAGAGGAAAGGCGGAAAGACGAAACGCATAACCAAGTGAGACATGCGAGTGGAGTACAGGAACTCGATGAAGGCTGTTGATGACTCTTAACCCACTCGTAACCCGCGTGGGCTCACCAGGGCCGTCGATCTCGGCATGGACGGTTGCGATGCTATCGTCGTGGACGGTCACCCGGATGCCGTCGAGCGCGCTTTGTTGCAGCGCCTTCAGCTCCCGCGCCACCTCGCGCGCCACGCGCGGGGGGAGGGGCGCGCCAGTGGCGCTCGCCTGGTGAGGGGAACGAGGGGAGGGGGAGGGAGAGAGGGCGAGGGCAGGGCGCGGGTTCATGGAGTGGGAGGGAAGGGTGGTTTGGCGGGTAGTGGATGCAGAGCAGCAAAAGCAAACGCAGATGTCGTACCACCTCGGAATAAGCGGAAGAGACGGTCCGTGCCTCACAGGGAGATACGCGACGTGACGGGCGTTCCACTCACCATCCGTATGCGAGAGTCGTCTCGAGACGATGTTGCTCGATCTCAGGATGTTCGGGTGATGTTCGGAACAAGTTTCGGTTAGCGGTCCGCCTATCTCATCCTAGTGCGCTAGGCCAGTAACTGTGCTACACGGAGTAAGCGCGCCGACTCTTAAGGAGGATGTCACGAGGCTGCTGATATCGCGTGTGGTGTGCCTTGTTGCGTTCCTACTGTTCCGCGTCTGAGCTGTATCACATTGCGAGATGTACGATAGCGCAGGAGGCGGCCAACGCTTTCTGAGCTACTTAGCTGTTTCGCAGAGACTATGAAATTGCGTGTTGGAGCAAGATAGGAGTGGTGGTGATGACACACTAGGCGCAACCAAGGGGCAACAAGGCACTAGGGACGTTTATTGTCGCGATGAGGCGAGTTGGGTGGGGTCAAGAGAGGTGAGAGGCGGGAAAGAAGCCAGGGTGCAGGGGAGCGTGCTAGCTGATTAACTCGAGGCGCGCCCAGGGTGGTCAGAACCGAAGCGTCGTCGTCACGCCGCAACAACCTTTCCCATGCCACATAAACAGAAGCTGGGGGAAGCACTGAGCCTGCGGGGAAGTCAGGGGGGGAGGAGCGGTGAAGCTTGCGGTTCTCATGATTGAGTGAAGATGGAGGGCGGAGGAAATAGGGGCGCGAATTTGAAGTTGGCGGACTCATTTTTGCTGGTGGTTGCGGGTTACGGGGGATTGGCTCGGTGATATCGAGGCGCAGATTGCGCGACTCGATTAGGACGGCTCGCGTTCTCCAACCAGTGCCTGCGATTGCATCACAGTTCTTAGCCGGAAACAGGTGTTTGAACGAGGAAAATGTGACTGCACGAGGATATGAATCCAGCACTACTTAACTCTCCAATCTAAGACTGCAATATCAAGCACAGAATCATGAATATGGAGGAATCTGTAAGGAAAATTCCTTTTCCTTACTTCGCATCCCTGCTCAACGCATACATCACTGTAGCACCACAGTCAGCACCGTTACCACTCGCAACCCTCGCATCGACAATCCGCCCGCCACCTTCGCACATCGCACCCCGGCTCGGCGGGTAACCCGCGCTCCGGGCCTCCGCTTCGACACTTTTCCCAACCTCAGTCCAGGCCCGTCGCGCGACAACCACAGTCCATTACCGTTACCACTGTAGTTTCGCTATATATTCTTCGCTCATGCCTTCGCTCATTGTACTCTTGCTTCGATAGTGCAATTCTCGTTCGTTCACTCAATTGCACTCGTAACACTTGGTATCAGAGCCTACGATCTCTTCTCGGCCCGCACCCACACCTTCGTTTCCCCACTATCTCATTTTTGGGGGGGGGGGGTAGACGTCTCTCAGCGACACAGCACCGCCGTTCGTAGTGCTCTCTCGTAAGCACGCACGGCCACGACCGAGGCTCTCGCTGAGCTCGCCCGACACCTCCGCCATGGCCGAATTCACACTCGCCACATTGACGCAGGAGCAGCTCGACCGTTTGGTGCGCCAACTTGAAGATTCGGCGCTCGAAATTGCGACGCTCACGGCGGAACGTGACTCCGCGTGTCAGCAATCAACGATGAACACTCCAGCGCCACCACACGCACCGACAAATGCATCTGCACAATCGGACGAGCCGATCGTCATCTCGTCCGGCACACCAACACAAAACAACAGCGTGGGACAGCGCTCAGGCGCAGCCAGCGATGGCGCCGCCCAGCCGATGCCTGGCATGGGAGGAAACAGGGTCGCACCAAGCCCGCGGGAGCCTCGCGAAGCCCGTCGGCACGTGGAGTTCGCGGCGACAAGTGGCGAACAGGCCATTATGGCACCAATGCCACTCAAGCCGCAACGCCCGCCCTGCTTCGACCCAAGCCAGCGTGGAGGTCCGACGGTTCAATCGTGGGTCTTCACGATGAACGTCTTCTTCGACGCCAATTACGTCGAGTCGGACGCAGCGAAGATTCGGTATGCCGTTTCGCTGCTAAGGGGCCCCGCCATGGACTGGTGGCGAGTCATCGTGATGTCGCCACGCGCCTACGAGCCACCGTCGCAAGAGGAAGGGCCCACGGGTCCAGCTGTCACCTGGAGTTCATTCCGCGAGACCGCCCAATACAGCACGTGGGATGCGTGGTGCGCAGGGCTTCGGGCGCGCTTCGAGCCGATCGCGGCTTCTATTTCGGCGCGTCAGAGATTGCGCACTTGGCGGCAGCTCGGATCGGTTCAAGACTATACGAGTGGTTTTCTCGCATTATGCGAGCAAGTCGGCTACATGCACGAAGCGGAGCGGGTGGACCGTTACGTCGGAGGGCTGAAGCCGGACATCTCGCACGAAATCATGCTACGCGGGCTCTCGAACTTCAACGAGATTCTCGCGCTCGCCGAGAAAATCGACATTTTACGACGTCCGAGACCGGGGTCCTACTATGGACATCGTCCTCGGGGGCCGATCGAGCACGCCACTGTACACGCTGTTGCGACGAATGCAGCTGCCGCGCCGTTTAAGGGGCGCTGCTTTGCTTGCAACAGGCCGGGCCATCGCAAGAGCGAATGCCCAGAGGAGCTAAGGCGCCGTGGAGCAGAGCAGGGGAGGGAGTCTCCAAGGCAGGGAAACGCCAGCAGTTAGTAGGAATCGGGCCAACTACTGACGAGACTGCCTGCTCGCCCAACCCCACCGACCCTCACCGAGTCACAGTATCGATTCATGCTATCGATCGGACTCGGACGAATAAGGAGGGTACAGCGACGGATTGCCCAGTACTGATCCACGGGAAAATACAAGGAGCAGCAGTGAAGATTTTTATCGACGGAGGAGCAAGCCACAGTTTAGTTAATACCGCAACCGCACGAAAATTGCAGCTGACACTTAGCCGTTGCTTACCGGAGATAGACGCACGCTTAGTCGACGGCACGCCACTGGCCATACGGGAAAAGGTAGAGAGAGTCAAAGTCCGCTGCGGAGGAAATTTCGGGTTTACACAGGAAATGCTCGCAACGACACTGGATGGGTACGATATTTTACTGGGACGTGATTGGCTGCGACGGTATAACACGCGAATTGACTGGACGACGGGTAGCTGCTGTGAATTAAGAAAACAGGAATGGGGATGACTAAGGGAAAGTTGGGTACAAATACAAACCCTAGAAAACTGTACCCCATATGTGCTACCCCACTATAGCCTACAGTAGCTCTGTCATATAAATCTGACACACCCCCATAGGCAAAGTGGGGGAGAACAAGGGGTCACAAGACCAGTCAAGCAAAGCAAAGCAAGCTCAGGGTGGATCACAAAGTCACCACACATTCCGAGCACAAGTTCAAGGCCACAAGGCCAGTTCACATGCAGGATTACATTTATATATAAGGCTAGACAAGCAAGAGCACGTGTATATATATATGCAACAGTACAAACAAGGTCAAGGGGTGAGCAAGTGAGGCAAGGTAGGCACAAGGCCCAGCTGAGTACAGAAACGCTGATGATCACAAGGCGCAAGTGCCTTGGTGAAGATATCAGCAGTGTTGGCCTGAGAGGCCACGTACGCAAGTCGCAGCTGACCACGCTGCTGTAGCTCACGAGCAAGGAAGTAGCGGAGAGCAATGTGCTTCGTTCTGTGCTCCAGTCTCTGCTCTCGACACAAGGCCAGCATGGCCTTGTTGTCTACGTACAGCACTGGAGGAGAACGAGGCGGCTCTCCGAGGTCAGTCAGCAGGTAGGTGAGCCAGCGAAGCTCCTGTGCAGCCATGGCCCCAGCGTAGATCTCAGCCTCACAACTGGAGCCGAGAACAAAAGACGAGCGGGTAGCCCGCCACGAAACAGAACCGGAACCAAGGCTGAAGGTGTAACCCTGTGACGACCGCTGCGTAGCCTGGTCGTCAGCCCAAGAAGCGTCTGCGTGCCCAGTGAGGACCACTGGACTCTGCCCTCCAAGCACAAGCCCCATGCCCGACGTACTGCACAAGTAGCGCAACACCCTCTTCGCTGCAGCCATGTGCTCCGGTCTGTGTCTCCCAGGAGCAACATAGCGTGCGAGAATGCTAAGAGGGTATGCAAGGTCAGGTCGTGTGCAGGTCATCAGGTACATGAGGCAGCCAACAAGCTCTGGGTACGGGCCACTCGACTCTACGGACTCATCCGAAGGCAGAGCTGAGAGCGAGTGGCGAGTAGGCAGAGGAGTGGCCTGAGGCGAGGAGTACGTGAAGCCGAAGCGCTGAAGGACCTGCTGCACCATGTGTGACTGAGTCAGGGTAATGGTGCGGCGTGCTCTGTCCCGGGTGATCTGCAAGCCAAGGTAGCTGCGCAGTTCACCCAGGTCTGTGCACGTGTGTCTCTTCTGCAGCTCGGACTTCACGTGGGCGAGTCCAGCAGTGTCAGTTGTGGCAAAGACCAAGTCGTCGACGTACACGAGGATGTAGAACGGCGGCAAAGAAGTGTCGGTGCGCAGAAACAGCGACGGGTCGGCAGTAGAGGGAGCAAACCCAAGAGCCGCAAGTGTAGTCCTCAGTGTGTCGTGCCACTCACGCGGTGCCTGGCGGAGACCGTAGACTGGCCGCCGGAGGCTCCACTGGGTGCCAGGAGGAAAAGACCCAGTGAAGCCAGGTGGGCGACGCAGCCAGATCTCCTCGTGCAGGCTACCCTGCAAGAAAGCAGTGCTGAAGTCAAGAGAGTGCAGCTCGTAGTCGCGGTGAGCAGCTACGTGCAGCAGTACCCGAAGAGTGGTCATCTTCGGGGTGGGAGAGAAGGTCTGAAAGTAGTCAACTCCCTGCCGCTGACTAAAGCCACGAGCCACGTAACGCGCCTTGAAGACAGGCGGAGAACCCGGCGGCCGCTTCACCCTGAAAATCCACATGCCACTGACGATGTTCGCCCCAGACGGGGGAACCTCGTCGACGTAGGTGCCTGTGGACTTCCAGGAAGCCATCTCTGCGTCCATAGCTGCCTGCCACTGAGAGGAGTAGGGACCCTCTATCGCTTCCGCGTAAGAGCGCGGAGTCGGGATGTCAAGTGCA